TGCAGTCTGTCCCAATGTTAAGTGATTTGTCGAATTGTCCTGTCCATCTAGGTCAAGAACAGTAACACCTGAGTGTGAACTGAGCACCAGGTGATGTGCCAAGCACATTCTCTTGTTTAATGCTCACAACTACCCCAAGAACTAATAAGATTACTGTCAGTTTACAGATAAGGAAACTACAGAAAGGCTAATGTGCCTGAGTCTGTTGAGCTGTGTCAGTAGAGGACTCAGAACCTTGTGCTGTCTTCCTCCATCTTTCATCAGTAAAGAGTATGGAAGATTGTCATCTTACTGACAATATGGGATGTGCCACTTCAGTACAGGTGAGCCAGAAAACCTACAGATTCCCCCTACCCACCCCAAATGTGAAGATCTGACACCTTCTTGCTCTGGATGCACCATGAATGCCTGACTTGTCACTAAACTTAAACAGAATAAGCAAAACCACAATTTCCAGAACTCATGCAGATGGCATATTCATATTGCTGAAGTGTGGTTCCCCTTGGAAGTTTCTTTACCAAAAAGAAAGTAGGCATGTAGCTCTTCCAGTTTCTCTGGGTGAGGAAGAGGTCAGCAGGAATGGGTGTAGGATTGATTGTGCCAGAGCGTCTGACAGCTGGCAGCCACTGTTGATGTAATTAAATATTCTGAGCCATATCTGAATTAAGAACTACGTTCAAAGTGGAGGGTGGGGGACAACAGCTTTCCTTCTAGCCAGGAAGTGGAGAATTAATGGGAGGCAAGGCCATCTGTCTTGAGATGGGGTAGAGGTGAGGGAAGAAGCTACAGGAGCATGAGGAACAAGTCAAATAACCACACGACTGCGAAAGAAGGGAGAGAGGACAGCTGGCTGCACAGGGTTTCTGCTGGTTCTGCGGAATCAGAGCTAAGTTTCCCGTGGTGCCGATGGGCAGAAGTGGGTGATTTTCCCCCAAGTGGACAAAACAGACAGCTGAGCTGCTCCGAGGGTGGGTGTTTGCAGAGCAGATGCCACAAGAGGGGAAACAGAGATGATGAAGATACAGGGTGCAGGCAATGCAGTGATCTAAAGATACACTAGGAGGTTGGGTAACAGGGGCCACAGGCAATGAGTAGGGCTGGGGATGTTCATGAGTTCAAGGAGATACAAAAAAGAATGAGATGTGGAATAACATGGGGTTGTGATCAAAGATTGGTGTATGAGATTTCTAATTTCAGAGTAGCAGTTGGGGAATTGTAAACTGTGAACAATAGGAAAGTACTTGGAAGAGCTACAACAACACTAAGGATGGGTCATTCACCCACTTGTTTGTAGTTAAAAGGGGGTTGCATAGAAATCTTACGCCAAGGGAGGTGCTCAGTGAACAGGAGATAAAGGCCCCAAAGTGCAGGGATGACAGCCCTACCTGTGAGAGGATTAGTGAGGACCGGGAGGATGGCAAGATCACAAGTACAGGACAAGCAGACTCTACTTGGGAGGGCTGCAGGGATGCGTGTGCCTGGAGAAAAGCCCACTTTGTAGTAAGGAAATGAAAGGTGCGTGTTCTGTAAAGAGGCTGACAGAAGTTACATGGAGTTCTAGAAGGCACCCCTGAAAGCCAGGTGTCAGTACACGTGCTACTACTAACAAGGTATTGCATCCATGTGACCTTAGGTGGAACCTCCCCTTGAGCCTGTAACACAGGGATTACTGTCCCATATACTTCATGAAGTAATGAGGATGAATTCAAATGTGAATGCACCTGTTATAAAGCAGTTTGCACTATGGGGCTAGACTCTGGGCCGAATGTCATGTTCAAAAACAGATCACAACAACTACATTTTTATGATGTTTATGTTAATGTGAAATGAAACGCAAGGGGGGTGAGATGGTAAGAGCAGCCTAGGGTATCAGGGACAACACAGAGAGGCAAGAACACCAGACTTGACAGTGAGGTTTCTGTAACCCTGGAAGCAGAAATTTTTCACTATGTGACTTCCAAGGAGTTTGATGCAGATACAAAATTAGACAAATCACATTTTTCAGAGCTTACCACAAATAACGGCTTTCCCACATAACTCAATGATTCTTCTGAGGTAGCTATTATTCCTATTGTCCAAATGGCAAAAAATGAGGTATTAGATTGGCAATGCAATGTTCTAAGCCAGGGGCTGAGAAACCTTCTGGTAAGGTACCAGAGAGTAAACATTCAGGCTCTGTGGGCCAGAGTCTCTATGGGAACTATTAAATTCCTAATGTAGCACAAAAGCAACCCTACACAATACATACAAGAATGAATGTGACTGTGTTTTATTTGCAAAAGCAGCTGTCTAGTGGGATTGAGCCCACAGCGTGTCATGACACACACTGAACACATTTTCTAATCGTAGGCCCAGTATTCTCTGTGGCTTACTAGGCTAATCCTCCGCCTTGTGGCGCCGGCACACCGGGTTCTAGTCCCGGTCGGGGCGCTGGATTCTGTCCCGGTTGCCCCTCTTCCAGGCCAGCTCTCTGCTGTGGAGGATGGCCCAAGAGCTTGTGCCCTGCACCCCATGGGAGACCAGAAGCACCTGGCTCCTGCCATCGGATCAGCGCGGTGCACCGGCCACGGCGGCCATTGGAGGGTGAACCAACGGCAAAGGAAGACCTTTCTCTCTGTCTCTCTCACTGTCCACTCTGTCAAAAAATTAAAAAAAAAAAAGAAAAAGAAAAAAAAAAGAAAAATAAATGTCTTAAATCCAGCTCTGGTGAACTTTACCTCCTACCTCCTATCTATAAACTGGCACAGCTGGACTGTAAACAATCTCTAGGGGCTCATTGAAATGTGATTAAAATGGGGGCTCTTACCACAGTTGTAGCAAACCAATCCATATTCTGTCATCTTTGCCAGGCCATTTCTAACAAACTGTAACCTTCAAATCAGTTGCCACCCTTTGGTCCTCTCTGGTGTTTCTATGTACAGAGGGCTATATTTTACATCAGTGATACATAGGGGGACCACCAGCAAAGTCACAAAGGAGCATCCCTAGCTATATCTGAGTACCACCTATCTGTAAATTGCCCACGTGTAAATGGGATCAAACATACAGTGAAATTCTAGCGCTAAGCAATTAGGTTTAGAAAAAGGAATGAGAATCGGAGTTCTGAGGGGCTAGGTCGAGAAAGTGAGTCCAGGAGCAGCACTGTTCTTAGACCCATGACTCCACTCATGTGATCCAACAGCTCCTTGCCATTTGTGGTTATGTAAATTCACATTAATCATTTAACAAAATTAAAAATTTAGCTCTATATATATGGGCATATTTCAAGGGCACACTTGGTCTGTAAGATGAGTTCTATCATCACAGAAGGATGTACTGGAGAGTGCTGCTCTAGACAAAACCCAGAATGTGGACGTCAGTTGGAAGAAATCCTCCTTAAGTACACCTGGTCCTCACTTTGGATATCACTAACCTAGTCACCTACAATGAAGCACTAGGAACAAAGACGTGGGTCACAGTGCTAGCCTATCCATCCCCTTTTCCTTTAAGAGCATATACTGCAAACTGAGGAAACACCTCTGCCTCTGCTCTTACAGGTTACCTTATACTATAAGCATCAGAGGTACTTGCTTAAGGTCTAACTGACGTACAACACTGCAGGCTCCCATCAGTGCCCATGCAGGCCTTGGTGCTGTAGGAGGAACAGAAAGAAGGAAACGAAAAAAAAAAAAACCAAGCCCAAGTTGCTTTCATGTGAATTAACCAGCAATTCTCAGTTTTGATGGCTGTGCCACAACTTGATCACTTCTGGGTTAAATGATGTTCACTTTCTGCATCATTCCCAGGGTGCAAAATGGAACTCTGACCTCCAGGTCTTCCCCACAGTAGTCCAAACTTGTCCCTCATGGGCTCAGCACTACATCGTCTCTGGGTACTGCTAAATGCAGTCATTAAGTTCTATTAAAGCTCAATTTCTGAATATTTCAGGAAAAATTTTCATATATTTTTGCTTTCCATTTGGAAGGCAGGGAGAGATATCTTTTGTCTGCTGGATCACTTCCAAATGCTTGCAACAGCTGAGGCTGTGCCAGGAACTTGGAAACCAATCCAGGTCTGCCATGTGGTGGCAAGGACCTAAGTATCTAGGCCACCACCCTGTTTCCCAGGATGCACAGGAGGAAGCTGGAATCAAAAGTGGAAACCAGAGACATGAATTGATGTGGGATGAGGGTACCCTAAGTGGCTATTTAACTTTCAGCATGTGCTTCCACACTGACTTCCTTGTTTTTCACATTTCTTCTATGAATGATTCGCATGTCACTAAGTACTTTGCCAGGTTTTCAAGGCCTATTGATAACATGGCTCTTACCTCCACTGGCACAGATGTCCCTTAATACACGTTACAGCTTTGTTCAGGTCCACCATCTCCATAAAATTTCAGAAACTACTCTAAATGGGTATGGCAGGGGCTGGCACCGTGGCTCACTTGGTTAATCCTCTGCCTGCATCGCCGGGTTCTAGTCCCGGTTGCTCCTCTTCCAGTCCAGCTCTCTGCTGTGGCCCGAGGGCAGTGGAGAATGGCCCAAGTGCTTGGGACCCTGCACCTGCATGGGAGACCAGGAAGAAGCACCTGGCTCCTGGCTTTGGATTGGCGCAGCGCTGGCCATAGCAGCCATTAGGGGAGTGAACTAACGCAAGGAAGACCTTTCTGTATCCCTCTCTGTCTATAACTCTACCTGTCAAAAAAAAAAAAAAAAAAAAAAAAAAAAAAAAAAGGGATGGCAAAGATTGTCCAAAATAACTCACTATTTCATCATACACTGATACACACCACAAAACTGAGCGGCAACATTTGGCAAAAATGCTGCAGTTTTCATTCTGGCCAAAGAAATTTTAGGGATGAATTAGTGAAGTGCTATAGTCCAGGCTGCCCTACATGCCCAAGCCAACACAACCTAATTCTACAACTAGGAACACTGATACACCAATATTTAGGGCAATTACACTCTTTAACCATTAAAATTTTAGCATGAATCATTAAAGCAGACACAGTCAAAAAATCATGATCTATAATTCTGTTTTTAATTCTCTTAAGTCTTGTGATCACATATTTTAGAGGTTTTGTGCTGATGGTATCCCCTCTACCTTAGTCCTTCCACTGAGTTGGCAAAAGCACCATTACTAAACACAAACATACAGTAGCTCCTCAGTGTTATGTGTTTCCAAATGGCTGCTTACAGACAATCCTGAATTCTAACTCAGTCTAAGGTAGTAAAGAATTCAACAGCAAGTGTAACTTTTTACTTCACCTGGTCATGCTGACGTTCAAAGCACCTGACCTTACAGATCATCTATAAAATGTGAGAAGTGTTAAATATTCTTTATTTGATATGCATAAACCACACTAAAATGCCTTTCAGTAAGTAAAAGGCAGAAGTTTAGATACAGGAAATTCTAATGAGATTGCCACAGCTAAGACCAAAAATACGAAGTAGACATTTCCAAATGTCTTCAGCTCTTGCCTTAGGTAGGTAAAGAACAAGGGAATCTCGTTCAGTTCTGAGACAGTGAGGCAATTTCCCCAGCATTTAAATCTAAATCCAATCTCCCAACAGGTTTTGAGATGGCATTGACAAGTTTTGTTAGTTAAGTCCAATCATATCCTTAGAAGGGGAAAACAGTGAGGGCATTCACTGAACTGGAATTACTACCAAAATTTCCTATTTAACCACACAAGGCAATATTAGACTGTTGGACAAAAATATTCTGTCAGCCATTCATGATCTGAATTCTGGTGTATGAGAATTAAATTATGGTGCACATAAAAAAAGTCACGGGACATTGCTGTTTTGTAATAAATAAGGCAGTGGCCAGCTATTACTCATTCGTAGCTTTTTTGAGATAAGCTATCAAGTCTGCCCTTTCATTCTTCTTCTTAATGCCAGCGAAGATCATTTTGGTTCCAGGGATGTATTTCTTGGGATTCTCCAAATACTCCATCAGCGTGTCCTCTCCCCAGGTGATGCCTAAGGAAGAGATGCACTGGTTAAGAATCTCACACTCCCGACAGAAGAGCTGGCTACAGGGCACGTTCACTCAACTGGTGCTGTATTACCGAGCAACTGCCCTCCTCTTACCTTTGTTCTTGTTGGCGTCTGTGTAGGAGAATCCAACGGCCTGACCTGTCTTCCGCCCGAACAGACCATGGAGATTTGGTCCAGTCTTGTGCTTGCCTCCCTTTTCCACAGTGTGGCACTGGGCACATTTCTGAACAAAAATCTTCTTGCCTTTCTCAACATCACCCATTTTTAACTCTAAAAAAAAAAAAAGATCCAGCTTAGTAACTTTTTTTTTCCCTTAAGAAACAAATACATTGGAGCTACCACATCACTGCTACTCTACAGCATTCAGAGCCAGGACAAATTTTGTTTCGCTCCGCACATTCCCAATACTTTTAATACTGAAACACTACTTAAGGGAACCTCCTGAAAATCTCATTTCTTGTGTGTACACATGTTGGAAGCCTGGGCAAAGTGGAGATCTACTTCATAACCCAGTTTCAAAAGCACAGGTCAAGGTCACGAAGTCACAAACCTGACCTGGGATTACCGTACACCCAAACCACCCAAATCCCCACTTTTTACAAGCCCTGATTATTTACGCACACTACAACCGAAAGCCTCCTCTCTTGAGGATCAGGTGAAGCACGCTGTGTACAAAACGAGGCCCTGGTCCCCTCGGGCCCTGGAGGTCACCCGCGCAGCTTAAATTACACCAGCACCAAGGCGCCGGCGGTGGCTGGGAGGACTCGGGCGGGCCGCGCGAGGCACATTCGCTCTCTCCAGTTCTAAGACGCCCACGGGCGACCATGCAGGTCGGCTTCGGGTTCACGGGGACTCACGAAGCCCCCCTGGGTGGAGCTCCAGCGCGGTTATCGGGAGACGACCCCTCCCTGACACGAGCAGCAGGCAGGCTCTGCTCTCTGTAGGTGGACGTGAAAGGCCGCGCTCCGGCCCTCGCGGGGGAAATCCTGCCCATTGGTTCCTCACCACCCACGGCCGGGAGGCCCGCGTCCCTGCCAGTCCGCGAGCGAGTCTGCCCCTCTGCCTACTCAGGACGCTGCCCCACTTCGCGCCGTGAGCTCCCGGGCGCCAGCTGGCCAGGAAATCCCCGCTTCTCCCGCCCGGCCCCGTCCGGCCCGCGTGGACCCCACTGGGAAGTGCCTGGCTACGACCCGCGCTCCACCGCGCGCTCCCCACGCATGTGCGCACATTCCACAGCTCTGCCCGCCACCTACGGCTGCTTCCGCACTCCCGCGCTCACCGCTCGTTAGTAGCTCGCGCCCTGAAGGACCGCACCAGGAAGCTGGACGTCCCGCTCTCTAAGCCCAAGGACACGCCGGCCCGCGCCTAAGTACCGGCGTTGGTGCAACCGCACTCGCTCCGCCCCCGCGCGGCCCGACGTGCGGCCGAGGCGGGCCATACGCAGTGACGTAGCGGCTCCTCATTGGTCCCTGCGTCAGGAGCCTGCGCCAGCGCGCATGCCGGCTAGCAGGGTAGGGTGTCCCTCGCGGGTGCCCTTCCTCTGGAGGCCTGGCTTACCGGGCCCTTACGGCAGGCCCTGCGACACAGGGCGTCGAGCTGGGGCGGGGGGCGATGACGTCACCCTGACGCCTCCGGGCGCCCGCGGAGCGAAGTCTCCGTCTGGATCCTGGGCGTTGTTTTCCTGAGGTAACAGTTCTTGGGCGCAGGGTGTAAAGAGCTTAAGCCAAACCACGTTCGACTCACGCCCTAACCTGGACGCCCCGAGAAGTGACCTGATTGTCCCCCAGTCAGCTGGCGACCTTTACCTTGACCCTGCGGGCTGGGGCCCTTGTTCTGCCCTCACCTTTCTCCCAGCTGTGCCCGGTGGACGCCCGAGACCCAGGGAGGCATGCCCTTGGGGCGGGGACACCCTCCAAAACGCGGAGCAGCGGGAGGGTGTGCAGGCGGCGTCTAGGAAGTCACGTTTTTCGATGATTAGAGAGTCCTTGGAAATTAGGTAAAGGTCACGTCCCAGGTAGCCAGTGCGGTTGAGGCCATAGCAGAAATGTAGATATTTTTTGTTGTTGTTCAGCTTCCCCTTACCCCACTCACTCAGTTCTGGCCCCGGGAGCTTTCTTCCAGACTCTGCCCCTACATTCTGATGACTCTTTCCTCCATTCCTGTTTTCCGTCTGGCACTGCCACACTCATAACGTCGAGTGGTTGTGGAATGCATGTACGCATGTCCATGCTTTACCTGGTACCTGGAGTGAGTCAGTAAGCACTCGTTGGCGGAAGTTAGATTCTGGTATCCTTTCTCCCACCCTCAATGGAAGCAGTAGACACTAGGAAGTTCGCCTGCATTACCCCAGGCTTGCATATCTCTGGTCCTGTGATTTCTGCCCCAAATTCTCCATCTCCCTCTAAGATTAGAGTACCTTGGGTACCTCTCTGCTAGTGCAGAAATCTGCACGAGTCTCTCACAGAAATGGTACAGGAGTTGCTTACAAACCATGCACGTCCTCCTGTATGCTTTAAATTACTTCTAAATCCCTTACACTATGAAATACAATGTGTTAGTGCATTGTTACATTGTATCATTTAAGGAATAATGACAAGAGGAAAAATTGTACATGTTGAACGCATCTTTATGAAGCCAAGTCCTAATACTGCCAGCCATACTCCTCCAAGGAAAATGTGGTCCTTCAACAGGTAGTTGTTCTATGCAAGTCTCTGATGTTTGTAGTATCAAGAGTTATTAGTGTTTGGCCTTTAAGGAGTTGATCAATGGGGTATCAGAGTGCTGATGCCACAGATCATACCAGTAAATCGACTGGCCTCGTGAATGGATAGATTTCCCTTTACATTTATTCCTTTTAGAAAGAAAATACAAAACTGGAAATTCTTATTCTTTAAAATATTTATTTATTTGGAAGAGTTAGAGAGAGACCAAGAGAGAGATTATAAAGCAATGCCTTTGGTTTCTCCTTCCAGCAACAGAGTAGATGACTTAGTTTTAAAAAACCTTCTGATGAACAAAATCTAGTTATCTACCTCCTCCCCATGAAAATAAATAAGTAAGGAAAATCCTCTGTTTGGAGGCAGAGGGTGAATTATGGGGAAAAAAGGAAAGTGAATATACTAGACATGAACTGACTCCAGGGCCAACCTATGGACCTTTGCTGCAGGGGAGGAGCCTTGTGCTATGACAGCACATCAGCAAAATGAAAGTGAAGCCCATGCAGGGTGGTGAGGTGAGGTCGGAGGTGGAGTTGGTGCCCTGAATCCAAAGGACAAAATGCTGCCTGTTTATGGCAAACCAGGTTAGTCTCCTCTGTCTTGGCCTTGGTGCTGGATGAGGAGAAAAAGTTATTCTCCAAGGATTCATAACTACAGGTCTGCCACCCTCATACAGGCTTGGGGTTTGATTTTGCCCTACCTGCAGGGTCTAAGGAACGTCTGAAAATGAACCAAGTAGTCATGGTTGAGCAGCTTGTCTTGTTGTCTGGCAGAAAACAAGCACAAATCTTTTCCTGAGGACTATCTTGACCCAGGCCCCTGAGTACTCTCATAGTCATGAGAGGTCCCAAGCATGAGATTGTAATGGAAAGCAACAAAGAGCAAAATTTTACCACCAGAAGGTCACAGGTGTTGGAATTAGTAGTTACTGGAGATGAAAATCTTATCAACAGAGACACTTCTTCACATCCATTTAAAAAAGAAGCAATCATTTTTATTGTTGAGCAGGAACAAAAAAGTGCATATATAGGTAACCCACAAGAAACTGCCAAAGCAGACCAAAAATCTCACATAATTATACAACAGAGCTAAATTAGAATCTCTTTATATTTTATTTTCTAAAGATTTATTTATTTGAAAGGTAGTTAGAGAAAGAAAGGAAGAGATCCATTGGTTCACTCCCCAAATGACACATGGCTGGGGCTGGGGCTGGGCCTGGCCAAAGCCAGTATCCAGGAAGTCCATCTGAGTCTTCCTCATGGGAGGCAAGAGTTCCAGCACTCAGGCTGTCTTCTGTTGCATTGCCTTCCTAGGCACATTAGCAGGAAGCTGGCAGAAGCAGAGCTACTGGGACTCCAACTGGTGCTCTGACACTGGATGTCGGTGTTGCAGGTGGTGGCTTAACCTGCTGTCCCACAAAGCTGGCCCCAAGTTATGATTTTTTTATGTCATGCTGTTTTTAGCTAGCGTGTAACATGAGGCTTCAGGGTCATCAGTGCCCTATTTGTTTGGCAGCACACTGATCACTGGTATTTGGATTTATGATCTGTTTTCCTGAGGAAGATTTGCCATCACAGTTTGGCCAGATCCTCTCCTTGGTTGAGTCTTTGTTTTGTTATCACATTCCTTCCCAGTAGATTCACCTGGGAATTGGAGGAACCATTTATGTATGCGTTATTGTCGTTCTAAAGTATAATGAACACCCCCAACCCTGTATACACACCAGAAATACATGGCTATGCCAGCATTAAACTCCCAAGGTGACAGGGACCCTGGAGCTCCATCTTCCTAGGAGTTTACTTTCCAAAGGAATGGACCCAGACCTTCTGAGGGGTTTACTTTAAAAGGTTAGAGTGAAGACTCAGTCTTTAGAGATCCTCTAAGGAAATTCTTTGAAGGAAGGTAGAGGGGGAAATGGCCTGTGACCTTTGTAGACAGAGTAAGTGATTTTTATTTATCTTAAAACATATACTATGAAATGGCATTTAACCATTCAGATAAAAGAAGAAAATAGAAAGCTACAGTGAACAGGAGTTTTCCAGGCAAATTTCAGGAAGAGTTGAAAGTAACCTCGAGCCGGCGCCGCAGCTCACTAGGCTAATCCTCCGCCTAGCGGCGCCGGCACACGGGGTTCTAGTCCCGGTTGGGGCGCCGGATTCTGTCCCGGTTGCCCCTCTTCCAGGCCAGCTCTCTGCTGTGGCCAGGGAGTGCAGTGGAGGATGGCCCAGGTGCTTGGGCCCTGCACCCCATGGGAGACCAGGAAAAGCACCTGGCTCCTGGCTCCTGCCATCGGATCAGCGCGGTGCGCCGGCCGCAGCGCGCCGGCCGCGGCGGCCATTGGAGGGTGAACCAACGGCAAAAGGAAGACCTTTCTCTCTGTCTCTCTCTCTCACTGTCCACTCTGCCTGTCAAAAAAAAAAAAAAAAAAAAAAAAAGAAAGTAACCTCTAGAAATGAAAATTGTAATCATTGAAATAAACTACATATAGTGTGATAAACTTTCTAAAAGTTCAAGGAAAACTAAGACACACGCCTAAATGGATAGTGTAAAAAATTTGTGGAGATTTTGTGTTATTTTCCAATTCCAATTCCATTTTCTTCATTTTTTTGGACAGGCAGAGTTAGACAGAGAGAGAGAGACAGAGAGAAAGGTCTTCCTTTTTTCCGTTGTTTCACCCCCAAAATGGCTGCTACAGCCAGCACGCTGCGGCCAGCGCTGCGGCGATCCGAAGCCAGAAGACAGGTGATTCCTGCTGGTCTCCCATGCGGGTGCAGGGCCCAAGGACCTGGGCCATCCTCCACTGCCTTCTGGGGCCACAGCAGAGAGCTGGACTGGAAGAAGAGCAACTGGGACAGAATCCAGAGCCCCAACCAGGACTAGAACCCATGGTGCTGGTGCTGCAGGCGGAGGATTAGCCTAGTGAGCCGTGGCGCCGGCCTCCAATTCCATTTTCTATGAATTTTTTGAAGTACCCGTGTATGTATGTGTTTATGTGATAGCTATATATGAGGTAAAGAAATGATTAAAAAAAAAGCAAGATACTGTAATTCTGAGAGCAGGCAGGAGGGTGGGATGGGGAGGAACATACATACAACATAAAATTTGTTATCTTAACTATCTTAGGAGTACAGTTCAGTGGTATGCAGTCCATTCATATGGTACCACTATCACTACCACTCATTTCCAGGACTCTATCTTGCAACTGTGAAAGTGTCTCCCCATTGTGATGGTTAATTTTAGGTGTGGACTTGATTGAGAACTACCTACACAGTGATCAGGTGTTATTTCTGGTTGTGTCTGTGAGGGTATTTCCAGAAGGGACTGGCTTGGAATCAGTGGAGTATGTAAGGAAGATCCCTTCTCTACCAGCTTCCGTGGGCCCGCTCAACCTTTTGAGGGCCTGGATGGAACAAAAAACAGGAAATGTGAATTTTATGCCCTTTCTCCCTGTTCTGGAGCCAAAACATGCTCTCCTTTTGCCCTTGGAAGTCAGAACTCCAGTCTTTGGTCGCTGGAACCTGCACTAGCAGCCCACTATGTTCTCACGGTTTCAGTCTTGGACTGAGAGTTAAACCACTGGCCTGGGCCATCATGTGGGTTTTATGACACCTGTATCCCATATTGGAATAATGGTCGGGTTGCTCTGCTTCCAATCCAGCTCCCTGCTAATAAGCCTCAAGACAGTGGGAGGTGGCCCAAGCACTGGGGCCCCTGTCACCCACATGGA